ACACAGTGATGAAGCTGGTATGTGTTTGTGATGTGACCCCCCCTCTCTCTCTCTCTCTCGCTTTCACGCGCTCTCTCTTTCTCTCTCTCTCGCTCTCTCTCTCGCTCTCTCGCGCTGACCATAAACATTTTAGGGTCAATGTAGATGACCACATAAAAAACAGAAACACTAACAATGAGAGAAAAAGCTCTTTGGCCAGAGCCGATCCTCACTATACGCAAAATACGCAAGCTGTGTAGAGGCCCCCAAAACACCGTACCGAGCTGCGGAATAGACGCTGTTTCTCAAGCGCTTTCCGAGAGCGCGATTCGAGACGGAGTGAAACACGGACAAATGTGTTTCATTCATTCGTTCATAACCACTCATACCCCACTTCAATAAGAGTCTCATCTCCCATTCCCTTTAAGAGCCAGTTGCGCTCGTGCCATGGCGTATTTGCTATTTACACGGTGGAATTTGCAAGTGCAAAGACAGAACGCGTCTCCAGAGATGAAACGGAGCTGCTCCTGCACGAGCAAATAGGTAGCCTAATTCTGATACATGCAATGACTATACATTATGACATATAGCTGGTTTTTGTTGGTCAATGGCGCAGTCTATTTCAGTAGCCTCAAAATAGCAACGCGCCAGCAATGCGCCTGAACACACCTTGTTTTCAGACCAGCACGCCCATGAGTGCACAAATGGGCGCAAATGCATTTCCTATTTAAACAACATGGCGCAGGACGTGAAAATGACAACTGCGTTCGGGCTGAAACTAGCAAAAAACACAGCATTGCGCCGGGTGTATGATAGGGCCCACTGTTTCTCAAGCACTTTCCGCGAGCGCGATTCGAGACGTAGTGAAACACGGACAAATGCGTTTCATTCATAACCACTCATTCCTCACTCCACCGCCCCCCCGCCCCCACCCCCAGAAGTCTAGGATCGGCTCTGTCTATCTAGATTTAGCAATCTGGTTTAATATGCGCAAAATGTTCTCAAGCAAGTATAGTGGGGATCAGAGAACTGAAGAACAGGTAATAAAAAGTAAATAGTGTGATGTTGAGACAGAGATCAGTTCACTAATGGTATATTACTAACTAATGAATCTGAAATGCAAATGTTGATTCAAACTCACCTAGCTGGACTGTTTCCTCTTCAATTCCACATACAGGTGATTCCAGAATCGGTGTCACCTATGGTAAAATAGTGATAATAATGGTAGTGATTTTAAAACATTTCTCCATGATAATAACTTAATGGATAATTGCCAAAATTAATCTGTAGAGCCAAAAAAGCCAAAAATATCAAAGTTGATTCATAATCCACAAAATACATTCACTGTTGTGAGGCTGAACTACAACATATGAATATGGTTTGATTTAAAGCCTATGGGCTTATAACTTTGGTACTGTATATACAAAATACCTCTCTAATTGACTCCCTCTGTTGTCCAAATTCTGAAAGACACCCATTCTAGGAGAAAAAAGGAAAAGTTAATATAAATAAGATGAGGTTCACATATGTTTATAAAAATGTCAAATAAATTCAGACCTTACACTAGCTGTGTACATACTTGAATGAGTTTCAGTAATTTAACTGGTTGAAGGCCATTTGATGGCTTGTAATAGATGCTACCCTTCCACTTCTTGTGATGCCCTTTTCCTCCAAACTTCTCAAACATACTGGGCGTAAACCATTTCCCTTTACATGAAATACACTCCTCTCCTAAAGACAGAGAAACATAAGAAACATACAGAACATATGAATGGGTGCACATATTTAAAATAACAAATGCTGTTTTTTTTTTAAACGGACATACGGAGACATTTAATTTATACATAAAACTGGTGTATTATTCACTTTATATATACTGTAGTCCTGTCCACACAAACACAGGAATTTTCAAAACCACAGCTTTTTCTATGCAGTTTGGCTGTTCGTACAGATGCAAATGCAGTATCATGTCACTGAAACCGAACCTTTTTGAAAACTCCTGCCAGGGTGAAGATTTTCAGAAACTCTGGCTGCATTGTTGTCATGTAGCCTGTGAAACTGGAGATTTTGGCTTGTGACAACAGAGTGCAGGCTTTTTTGTCAGGCTTCTGATTGGCCAACATGGCTTTACAGTTAGGGTTATATCGCCACCTGTTGGTTTGGTATGCTCTTGACAGTGCTTCATAGCCAAAAACTGTGCAGTGGGAGCTTGATGGAATGGATATCCATGGGTGAGCAGCTGCATGCAAGCCTCACATCACCAAGTGCAATGCCAAACGTCAAATGGAGTGGTGTAAAGCACACCAACACTGGACTCTGGAGCAGAGGAAACCTGTTCTGTGGAGTGATGAATCACACTAATCTGTCTAGCAGTCTGATGGGTGAGTCTGGGTTTAATGGATACCAGGAGAACGTTACTTGCCAGACTGCATCGTGTCAACCGTAAACTTTGGTGGAGGAGGGATAACGTGCTGAGGCGCGTTGTGCATAAACATGGGGCTGTTTTTCAGGATTTATGCTAGGCCCCTTATTTCCAGTGAAGGGAAAACTTAATGTTCCAATTTCATGAGAACAGTTTGAGTAAGGCTCTTATCTTTTCAAGCATGACTGTGCTGCCATGCATAAAGCAAGGTCCATAAAGATGTGGATGAGTTTGGTATGGAAGAACTTGACTGGTCCCCACATTTGTTGCCCTGACCTCAACCCCATCAAACACCTTTGGGATGAATTGTAATGGCTCTGCTGCATGAATGGGCAAAAATTCCCAAAATCTTGTAGAAATCCTTCCAAGTAGAATCATTCTGCTATAGGGTCATTCCACAAAATCAGTACCTTTTCAGTGCCTGGTCAGAGGAGAACTGGCCCCCCGACTGAGCCTGGTTTCTACCAAGGTTTTTTCTCCATTCTGTCACCGATGGAGTTTTGGTTCCTTGCCGCTGTCGCCTCTGGCTTGCTTAGTTGGGGACACTTAATTTCCAGCGATATCGTCGACTTGATTGCACAGATACTATTTAAACTGAACTGAGCTGGATGATGACATCACTGAATTCAATGATGAACTGCCTTTAACTGAAAATTGAGTGTTTACTATTGTCATTTTGCATTATTGACACACTATTTTCCTATTTAATGCTGTACAGTTGCTTTGACACAATCTGTATTGTTAAAAGTGCTGTATAAATAAAGGTGACTTGACTTTTCCACTTGGAAAAATTTTAAATAAATAAGTTTAATCAACATTTTTATAAATGTCCACGAAATGAAGACACCTAAAAATGACAAGAAATTGTATTGTGCCATCTCAGGATATGTAATTTATTATTTTATGACTATTGTTCTACCTCATGTTTTGGTATTTTTGTCAACCCTGTTACCGACACAAACGTTACTAGAAACTATAGTTTAATTAAAACTATGTGATAGTTTTCACATATTTGAGAAACATTTTAGTCCCTCTTGTCACTGGGATTGTTTCAAATTTTGGATTTTATTTTTTTAATATATTTTTATATTGTCATTCAGATGACCAAGAACATTCTAATTTTGGAGGGTGACCACGTCAATTAAGAAAAATATATTTTTACAAGAGAGACATAAAAAAAGGGCTTTGTCCAAAATAAAATATAGTTAATGTTACAATGGGAAAACTTGGAAGGCTGTATCAAATATACTTTTTAACATTTTTATGAAATTAATGACAGTAACAGGATTGATGTCATAGTCACAGAGCTGACCAGAGTAACAGGGATGAAAGGACACACATTCTTCAGCACACTACACAGCGGTTTTATACTGCAGGTACAGTTTTACGATTTAAAATTGGATTATATTGTTTTGCACTTACTTAGCAACGTTGCATGACAATAGTAAACAGTCAATTTTTCAGTTTAAGTCAGTTCATTGTTGATTTAGCACATTACATTTCTAAGAGATCTAATGTTTTAAGGGTATTATACTTAGATAATGCGTTCCATCTGTTTCTCTGTGTCCCCTCACAGAACTTCAAATATACTGAACTGGTTCAATTATTAGGCAAGGAAGATGATCAGATCTTGGTCTTTCTGTAATCATCTGAAACCAGACCAAGATCTTGACTTTCTTGAACATTGCAAGACTGGGATGAAGGTCTGCAGTCATCTTGCTGCTCTTGTTTGTAATTGAATTTACATGGATGCATTATTGACAATGATTTATGGAAAAAATATATAGTTTTATTGAGACTGATAATCCTATCCCAGTCATTAACAGCAACAGTAATAGTAACAATTACAAAAATACTAACTAAAATGTAACTCGTGCTGAATGATATAGGCATTAGCTCAAAATTACACCCAGGGTGACCTTTAAACATGTTGGCATTTTGCACAGACAATCTTTAAAAACAGGGTGACACCTAATCTATGTCATCCCTGTTACCCCAATGTCAAAACCTGTTACCATGAAAAGTAACAGGACTGACAGTAATAGGTTTGACTATTTCAAACTAATTTGCTCATTTCTAGCTAATAGTCAAGTTCACAAAAGCACATGTTGTACACTTTGAAAGGATTTTACTTGTAAATATTGATTATATTAAATGTAATAAATAATTGTTTAAATTTACGTTTTAAAAATGGTAACAGTATTGACACTGCATGATGGACCCCCTCAGTCAAGCCTCATAAATCATCAAAAATAGAACATTATAGAAGTGAGAGAGAAACATTCTTGTGTTTCAAGTGTAGGAATCCTTGTTAAGAGATGATGTAACCTCCTAGAAGTGATGTCACTTGAATGTACATTATTTTACAAGGTTTTTTTGATGAGGGTAACAGGGCTGACATGAAATCAGGGGACACCAATAAAATGATTTAAATTTTATAGAAAAACGCATACTTATGCCAAAAACATTGCTTAACAATGATACTATATGCAAATGTGATTTTATAACATTTTGCCTTCATTTTGCAAATTAAAAGTCCTGCTGAAAAAGAAAAATCATAGTGAGGGACAGGCCAAAAACCTTACCATTATCAGCATAAATGTTATTTAAATTATTTAAAATAATATTTAAGTGACTTTTTTATGTAATATTGATTAAAGAATACATAGTATTGTTATGTTTTTAAATTGCAAATTTATTCGTTGTTATATTAAATCTATGTTTTATTATTTCTTAGTGACACAAAAGGCACCGATTTCATGGAATGACCCTATAGCTGAAGCTGTTATAGCTGCAAAGGGGGGACCAACTCCATATTCATGTCTATGTGATTAGAATGTGATGTCATTACAGTCCCTGTTGGTGTAATGGTCAAGTGTCCCAATACTTTTGTACATATAGTGGGTGCATATATTTATTTATTAAGTGACACTCTACATTAGTTAAATCTAATTTCAATCTGACTACATAGAAACTACATCTGCAATTTAATGTCACAATGTGAAAAATAAATAAAATAAATAATCTTTTCTCCTCCCAAAACTTACCATTGTCATATTTTATTCTGTACAGACAACCTGCAATTTTTCCACAATGGACCGCCAGCTGGTCCTTTTTTCTGACCTCTTGAAAGACATCTGTTAGGTCTACCCCTAAAAAAAAAATAT